TGTATTAACTCCAAGTTTCATTTGTTTTGTGTTCCATAAAAATAAAGCAGCCTTCTCATCTTCCAAACGTAGATGTGGCTTCAGGCTGCAGCTACTGCAACCTGAGCCAGCTTTCTGGGTGGCTCCAGACTTCGTGGAAACAGCTCTGTAACCCACCGCAGGACAAGGGTACTACCATTCATTAAAGTTATATTGGCAATCTCTTGTCTCAAAGTCCCAGCTTAGTCATGCATTTAAGTGCCCAATTTCCTCCATATACTAATTACACACATATTGTGAGTATTTTCTAATTGGTATGAACAAAGCTCTCCTGTGCACTGCAGATAACAAACGTCAATATGCACGTCTTCTGTTCTCTGCTAGTTCTTCATAAACATGTTCCAGATTGCCTCTCCATGGATTCTAAACCTGCCTCACTTGTGGATCTCATTTTTCTGTAGTTCCCCAACTGTAGTTCCGTAGACCCAGGAGCCTCTCAGACCACCTTTCCTGGAGAGTATGAAGAATCAAGCAATAACAAAGAGACTTTTTGCTTTCACGTAACAAAGTACAAAACTTGCTCAGAGCTGAATGTGGCGATAAGTTTAACTGCACAGTTTAAGGCTCTGCTGAGGAAATAACTAACAGGCCATTTCCTAGAGGACCTTCTCTGTACAGGACTAGGAAACTGGTTACATATATGCTGTAACCACACGGATATCAGCAGTAAAACAACTGATGTAAGCAACTAGGGCCTTGTGTGCCTCTGAAATTACCGTGGATGAAGAAAGGGCAGTTTGTCTGCAGAAGCCAAAAAACCAACCACTTAGAGCATCTCCTTAGGCACGCAGCAACTTCAGCTGTAGAGGTAAGCATCCAAAAGTTTGAATTTCAAGCACTGAATGCTACTTTGGGTCTAAACTCTATTGATCCAGCCCTCGTATTATGACAGAAGGGTATGTAGTAAGAGTGGTACTACAATAGCAAGGAGGTGAAAATGCAAGTCTCCACGTAAGAAAAATAAATAATATAGATTCATTCCAAGCAACCTTGTTTTTAGAAAAACATTCTGTTTACAGCTCGTCTTTGTTTTCTGCTCTGAAGCCAATCTGCAATCTTACCGGCCAGAAATCTTTTGTTTTTCAGGACTCTACACCTTTGACATTAACCTTCAGTGTGTGATGTACCCACCTTACAGATTTTAGAGTTCAAAGTCTGCCTTCAGGACCCATAAACTAGAAGCATAACCTGGTAAACCAGAGTACTGCAAGTACTCTTTTTAATCAGTCCCAGTGAAGAGTTTGTTCTCCTGAGAAAATATACAAATGGTAGGAAGGAAGATCTAGCTTCTACCTCATATTCCCTGACTGCCTAACTTTACCTGGATGATTTCTTAGTACAGTATCATTAAAGCAACTGCCTGAGATTCTTGACTGACCACATTTGCAGAACCACAAAGTATCTGGAAGCCTTTCAGGAACCCGCTCACCCAAGGGTATCTTTGGGACACCACAGTAACACAGCCACTGTTTTCTTCCTGTAGTTCACCTTGTCTATCTCCACAGCGATTATAAAATGCAGACAAGATCATTCTTATCTTCCACTTTCGGGTTTTTATGGCAGTGTCACAATGCTGATAGCAAGGTAAATCCAAGCACAATGAAGAGCAGCCACATAATCATCTTTCGCTGACAGATTTGATTTTTGTTTTCAGTGTTACTATATTTAGTAACATAATGAATTTCATTAACATATCTCCATGGAATTTAGCACTGTCAAAATTGTGCTTATTCATGCTGGCACTGTAAGGCTATTTATTAATCTCATATATTTTTTTATCTATACGGAGTGGAAACTACAGAAGCACCTGACTGTCTAGTATGGCAAGTCCATACAAAGGAATAGTACTACCTGCCTGGGCTGCAAGTTATTGTATTACAGGCTAAGTTGCAACAGAGCGTGACACCATGTAATTGTTACAAAGCTGCTCTGCAGGAGGTAAAAAGACATACTAGGTTGTGAAAGACCAAATACCTTTTCCGTATACTGTCAGCAGGTTTATGCAGCATTATGGGATAGTCACTAAAGCCCAGCAGGGACATCAAGGGATAAGACAGTATTTTAAAAACCAGTTACTCCCCCCAACCCTGATTTTTTTTTCTTTAAAGGAAGCAAACAGATGCAGTGCTGAGACTGTGCATGTAGAACACTTAGTCCTGCTCTGCTTGCGATTTTCCTTCCAAAAGAAACAATAAAATGCCATCAAGCCAGAGCTGTAATGTTTCATTGTCACATTATCTTGATATCAGGTCTTCACAGCCTATGACGTAGATTAAAAAGTTTGAACCTTTGGTCTTATTTGCTGTATTTTATGCCAGTCAAGCTCAAAATCCAAACTCACACACACATCCCACAATGGAGTAATCTTGCATGAAGCAGACAGAAAAGATGATGTAAAATTGTGCTCCTTGGTGGAGGAATTTTATTTTGTGCAGTAAGAGCTCCAAGCCATGCTGATGCATCACTTACTTAACCAACAAGTTTGCAGCACAGAGAAACACCAAGACTTTCTACAATATGAAAAGAGTGTGAGTGCCTAGTTCAACATATTTATTAAAACCAAGATGGGTTTGTACTGAATTACATAACAGGTTACAGCTGGAGAAGGTTTCTAAATATACAACAGAAGAACTCCCCAAGTCCTAAGACATACTTTTATGTTTGCTTAGATTTAATTTAAAAGTAATGACACTCTTAATGCAGTAGCAAAGCATTTCCTTTTAATGATGTGACACTTTAATATGGTCCTATATAATATTACATAATCTGATGAAAACAGGTTAGTTTTACACCAGATAGTGCTACTTGGTTTACATAATCGGAACTAGGATTTTTCTAGAAATAAGGATTTAATAATAAAAATCTGTTGATTTATTTTCAGGGAGAAGAACTGATATGATAAATAATGCCTTTATTTCTGGTTATGTAGACACCAGTAATCATAAACATACTGAATGGGTCTTCAGGAAATACTAACTCCTGTTCAGTGGGGTTTCTTACAGTGTTAACAAAACCCATCCATTTTCGTGACAGCTGCCCTACCGCTGCTTTTTCTGGGCAGGTGTGGACCAGTGAATGCATGAATTCAATTTAATAGCAAATTAATTTGAATCTACTCTTTAAAAACAATTTGGCCACTTTATGCTTCCTCAACAGTATACAGGATTTAGCTGTTTTAAACTCTGTGTCTTAACTAGTCTCTTGGAATAAATCTGAAGTTAGAAATATGAAAGACTTTAAAAGAGCTAACTCATGCTAATTTAAAAATATATTAAAATTTGGCATGCGTTCCAGTTCAAGAGTAAAGATCTAGCAAAACATGGATGTTAGATTTCTCTTATGTGGTTGCAGAATGTTATGATCAACTGTTGACTGTTACAGAAAGTAACAATCTCTCTCCCTCTTTGGCCCTTTGAGAAGGGTTTTGGGTTTTTTTGGATGCATACAGGAACATAGAGCTACCTTTCATTATTTTGGGTTCCCTGGTATACTCAGAAAAGGCAGCCTACCAATTCAGCTAAGCCAGCAGCCTAGATCTAAGAAGTGTCAGAAGCCACAGACAGAATCATGCAAGTTAAAAGATTTGCCAGCTGTATGGGTTTCTAGATGGAAAAAAGTTCATAACTGATCTTGTGCCTAGAGCAAGGAGAGAGTTCTGCTGAATTCCAGCATAACTGATATGGCAGCAACGTAAACACTTGTATTCAGTTAATCCCATGTCAGCAAGCAGATTTCTTAAGTTTCTGTATTGGCAATCACTCAATTTTGAGCTGGGGAACAGCTGTCAGTGACTGGGCAAAAGAAAAAACCCAGCTCTACTTCAGCGTTCGGTCACATCACCTAATAGAAAGGTGAATAAGAACCAGGTAATAAACTGTAGGTTGGGTCTGTTTATTTAAGTATTTATGAAGTGCTGGAACTCTGCAAGACACTGTTTCCATGTAACACTCCCCTGCAAGTTGTCGTTCACAAGACTGAATCACTTAATCCATACTTTTTATTTAACTGTATGCAAGGAAAAAAAAATCAATTCGTCTAAAAAAATAAGATTCTTGAAATCAAGGAGCCAGAAAGACAAGTGAGATATCCCTTAAAATCCTCTGTAGTTACCATCACAGATAGATTACAGAGAGAGAGTGATCTTAAATATGTTTAGTTTGAAATTCAATAGTAGTCATGCAAAACTAACACAGTTGCGAGCATATTATAGCACCACTTGAAATTAACAGGTAATTTATTATTAGCCCTGTAGCAGTAATACCTGTCAGTTGCACTAGAGCATGTATGGAAGGGAGACAGCCCAGTAACCGAGAGAAACATCTACTTTTCTAAGCCTCAGTTGAGAGAGCGCATGTTTGCAAAACCTCCATTTTTAGCTACAAAAGTGTTACCACAGCAAGGCAGGAGTTTCACCAGGTTTTGCAGACTCAGCTAACTACATATGTTAGAGTTTGTTCCCCATCAAAAGACAGTAAAAAATTACCAAAGTAGAGCTCAGTAGATTTATGCATTAGGTTGTAAGCCACCTAAAAAACAGGCCTAAAGTTGGATTACAGGATCGCACTTAGCAATTCAGTTTAGCCCATGCATGTGATACCGTCCTATGAAACCAACCTCAGTATTCCTTGAGGGGAGAAAAAGACACAGACCAAATCCCCAGGCAATTCATACTGACTTCCAATCCCATCTTACAACTTTGTGAGTTGTTTGGAATACAGCTAGGAAGTCATGCACAGTGACAGATTCCAGTTGCTACTACAACACTATCATGACAGACCATTTTAAGGATAATTTCCAGTAACTCCTTCAGAAGCTACTGCACAAGGAACACCAAAGCTTGCACTGACCTACTTAAAATTCGAGAACTCTGCCTACTCCATGATGAAGAGGTTTTAGAGAATCTGAAAGCACAGTCCAGGGGGTCCTCATAAGACAGCAGATTGTGGTCTTCTCACTGTGTCCTATATCTCAACAGTTGCAGCAGTGCCGTTTGTGTAGCCACCTTTAGACTTCATGTGGTCCTGAATTGATACAGCCTAGGGAAAAAAGTTTATTAGAACATGCATCTTATAAAGTCTGGTTGCCAGAGCAATTCATAAAAGCATTGATTCGAGGAGGCAGGTGAGCCATACAATTACAGTCCTGGGTTCCAGTGGTGGTAGGAGAAATAACAGCCAAACCCCGGACTGTTAAATACTGCTTTAAGTCAGTGCGTAAGATGGATCTTGCTATCCAAAATCCACTTATATCACCCTGCCAGAGCTTTGACGTCAAGGTGATCCAGAAAATCCTTTTCCAAAAGATTCTGATACATACAGACACTGGGGAAATGAGCACTTCTTGCTGCATGTATTTTCCACAGTATCTTATGTTTACAAACCAGTTCTGTTCTGATGCTAATTCTGTTGATGAAAAAAATTTAGAAGTGGGTTTTCCCTCTCCTATGATAATCTAGAAGTTTATTAGCTACCTACTCTATAGGTTACCGAGAGGAGATCTGTGCTTACCCAAGAAGTGCACACTTACTGATGTGTAGTCACTACTCATCTCTCCTGCCCCAACATGCGCAGTGTGTACAAAGTTCATTGGTTCTCCTATCATATTCCGGTCCAGTCTCCGACGCCTCTTCTGTAAGAAAGAAGGTATCTTAGGTCTCTAATCTGCAAACGTGAGCAGGTTTCAGAGAAACAAGCAGCTGAGAGTAAAAAAAAGACAGTCAATACTGACCCCTAATGACTCCTCATGGTAACTGGGCTGAAGGTTCAGCCTGTCTGCAGTAAAAGAGGGTTAAATTCACTTCTATTACTGCTAAATGAATTTTAGCAAAAAACTTTAATGTTGGAAAGTCAGGGCCTAAGAACTGCAAACAGTCCCATGGCCAAACACGGTCTGGTTTATGCTTGTGCGTTATTTAGCCCAAACTAGTAATAACAACATGACAATGAAAGTGTTTTCCACATAACCACAAGACAGAAGAATTTTAAATCTGATAAAGGATGTGCATCTACCTACCGGCTGGGGCTGTTCACCATTGCACCAGTTAAAACAAACCAGGAATTCAGTCATTATATTTTCAGCAGGTACTAATGTCTTGTTAAGGACAACTATTTCTCTGGGAGTTAAAGCAGTACAAGGACCAAGATGCAGTTCCTGAAGTGACTTTAGGAAGGAATTGCTTGTGCAGATTCGCTGGTAAAAATCACATAAAGCATCTGATGAGTATTCCTACAAAGAGATTATTAGTTAAATTTATACTGAAATATATCAAAGACTTGTAACAGTTATTGAGCAATACACATTTCAGGAGACTAAAACAAAACTGTAAAAATCTTAAACATACTTGGACATAAGAGTAGCATCAATTTTAAATCAGTATGTTCATGTCAGAAGTCAGGGTTAAGAACTCTGCACATACACTCCCAGACAGACAGTAGTATAAGGTCTGGTTTCTTTACAGAAGAGTAGTAAAAGTAACACTAAAATTAAGTTAGATCTTGTGTAATAGTTTGTGATCAGGTTTTAAGCAGAGCTTTGAAGCACAACAGATTGAATCTTATCATTTACAAACCAATGCAAAAGTAAGTTTTGTTCTTACATCTAATATAGTTACTCTTTACGGAGACAGAAAAGCTCAAAAGAAAGGATATTTTACAACTCCAAAAAGCCCTTAAAAGGGTGAGGAGGAAGCTTTGTACACCAGCAACAAAAACTGTTTATCAGAGCCTTAGCTTCCCAGAACACATAAAACTATTGACACAGCACTAGTGAACTGGCAACACAACCAGGAGGCTCACTAACTTTAAGTGCCCTGAAGCCATGATAAAAAACTTTATAGTGGTTAAAGACTACTACTATCTACCCCCAAATCAAAGCCCGGGCTGTAGGGTAGCCTATCATAACAACATTTTCATGCCCCAGATCATTTAAACAATATTATAATGTTAATTTATCAAGAAGGCATGGGGGGTTTATAAAGCTTACAGCTTAACAAATTACAGCTTCATGAATTCAGTCTTCCTGAGGCCCCACGGGAGCCTTCCCAACCAAACAGCGTAAGGGTCTCCTTTCACAGGTATTTCTAATGTAGGCCCACAATTATGTAATTAGCACATTTATTTCTTTCACCTTTGTGGTTTTCTTACACTTCATCACTTCTCACACTTCAAGGAGGTTATTTAAGTTCTGCCATTTATCTTTCAAAGCATTTGTTACTTTTGCTCTTAGCTTCAGGTGGCCTTTATAATAGATTATTGCAGAATGTGTCATAGATTACTCTATATTTATCCTAGATGGTTTTAATATAACTCGTTATCTGACTCAGTTATCATTTTTCACCTCATTTCATGCTCTCACAATGGTCTTTATCACCACTGATGCCAGGTTTGGGTGCAGCAAAGAAGGGACAGTGGCTCACATAACTGTAAGGACATACAGAATCCAAAGCTTTTGCCTACGCTTCACATTAGTAGCAGATTTTGGGGGGTTATTTCATGCTAAGGAGACTGTATCAAAGCTAGGATTTTCTTAAAAGTAACAAAATACCTCCCTACATTAATAACCTATTTTGAAAGCAAACTGAGACAAGCATCTGATTAGATACAGAAACATCCCCACCCCAAAATAACAGTTGAACGCCCGCTGTCCTCCTGTCGTACCCCCAGCATTTGGCCATCCACCTCCGTGGGGCTCCGAGCGTACCTGATTGTTACCTGCTGCTCCCAGGAGTCCTGACAGGGTGGTACCTCCTCATTCAAGCGCTGGCACGCAGCCACCTCCGGAGTGTCTTGGCAACTCCAGCACATCTACAGTTCATATTCCTGGGTTGCAATTAATCCTGAGCGCTAAGCAAGAACGCCTGCCTCACTGTGATCCCAGATCCTTCGCTCTGTAGGATGCTGCAGACGTCTGCTGTGCGCTTCACGCTTACCTACAGGTGTCAGAAAAGCAGAATGGAAACCAAAAATAGTGCCCTGGTTTGGCGTCAGATCTGTAGAGCCATGCAGTTTTCCCAGCACTATCCATACAGCCTGTGGCTTGTTTCCACCCCTGCGGCAGCGCTGCAGGTGTCCTCCTGGCACACAGCACCGCTGGATGTCTTCCTGTTGTGTTTTACAACAGAACTGTTCTTTTCCTCTGCATGAGTCAGAGTGTCATCCTCCAGGACTGCGCCGGGGCACAGGACACCACCTTCCTCCTGACACTCAAGGTTTCCACATGAACTGGAAGAATTTTAAAAACATCTTAAATGTGTTTGGGCTTGCTCAGGACTAATAAAAGGCAACAAGAACCCACAAACCGAGGAGAAAACAACATTTTGTCACTGTTGGCACACTGAGTAGAACTGGACAATATCCTGTTGTTCTTTCTCTCTATTTTCACCATAGCAGCAGTATTATTGAGGAGAGAGAGACAAAGGGCCAGGGAAATGGCTAGCACACGCAGACACAGATGTGGAATGAGATGGGCAGGATGCACAGCCATTCTGGAGTCTGTAGCCTTAAAGCGCCTGAGAGCTTTATGTTTAGATATACTTTACTGAGCATAACATGCCATTTGTTCTACTATAGCTGTGTATTTAAAAGTGTTCAAAATTTTACTGTATTTTACTCATATCTTTTCACTTCTCTAGGAAGTGAGAAATGTTTGACTCAAAACACGAGAGTCCTCCCTTTCCATAGACATGAGAGGTGCACGGTAATCTCAATAAATAACATCAGTGAACATACCTGTTCTTCACAACTGGCCTTTAGACTCAAAGTCTGACCATGACAAATCCCGAACTCCAGGCTGTCAGTGAGTGTGAAGTTAGCTTATGTCAGTCATCACGTCAGGCACAGGCTGCCATCGCCCTGCTCCAGGGGAGCTGTTAAATCACAGGAACTTCCGAGCCCGGTTGTCATTTTCATTCCAGCTCTGTCAGTACTGAATTGATGTGAGCAGCATTTTTCAGCCTCATTGCCTTTCTAAAAACCACTGTGCTTCTACTTTGGTCATTATCCGTACTTTGCTTATTTGATATTTACCTCATGTTAAAATCCTGGAACAGTTGTATTTACTTGGATGGCAAGGTGTGGTAAAAACGGTGGAATGTGTATTTTTAGACCAAAAATCAGTTTTGAGCATGAATCCTGAACAGTGCATCTTGCTTGGTGAGAGGTGAGGAGTAAAAAACAACAAATGACCAAGACTTTGGAAGAACCTTAAGAGCCAAACAGCTGAAATCCTGTGGGAGGGTGAATTTAACTGCTTGGAAGGAGCATCCTGATTTTACCAGAATAGGTACAGAATGTAAATTTAGTTTGAGATGTAGTCCTCAAACTGCATAACAACATTACTATGTAGTATGATTCTGTATCAGCCTTCTGCCTTTGTGAAGCTTCATGGAAATCTGAGAGCAGGGCTTTACCTATGGAGACCTCCACGAGACTAGGAGTGCTGGTATTCTCAATGCTCCTCTGAGAAGCTAAGTGAACACATGGCATTAAAAAAGGGGGGGGGGGGGGAACCCACCAAGGCAGCTCCTCTGTTTCCAAGTGGAAATGAGCTTAGTCACTGAATGGCAAAAAACTACATTTTGACTGCCCATTCCTCATCAAAAAAAGAAAAGAAAAAGCCAAGAGACCAAATTATGTGTTCATTTGGAAGTTAAAAGTAACTGTGAGAGGAATGACCTGGAGCCTTACCAGAAGAAAACTAGTGAAAATCACTAGAAGCTGAGGAGCCGGACGGTTGGCACCACACCACCCGCTGGGATCGTAAACACCGTGAGGTCAACGAACCGAGCTACCAGTTTGTGTTATGGAATTTAATGTTACGAAAAATAAACTCAGGAACAATAAGAAAGGCTGTGACCATTAGTTTTACTTCTTCACACAAGAGAAAACGCTGTAACAACACGAGGT